TCTTCCCCGCTGTTTTGACATTCCTGGGGCGTTCAGGAAAAACGGACCATGGTTCTGTGTTCCTCACATGAGCCTGTACAACATTCAGGGAATTATTTAAAAAAACGCCCATTTCCTAAAGGGCCCCCTTTGTGAGCAAACGCGAAGTGTGCCTCTGACAGTGCCTTTATTGCTTTGGCATCGACGACAGTCGGTGAATTTTATTACGAACAGTCTGAGTCTGCACACTAAGAGCGTGCCTCACAGAGAATACCACGATATACAGGGCCACCGAACTTTTGACTCTCGCTCCACCCACCCTGGTGTACAGTTTGCTTGAATTCCCCCTTTTGCTGATCTCGATTAGCAGCTTGATTCCCGAGCTCTGCGAATTTTGGATTTTAGCCCCACCCACATCGATGCACCTTTCACGCACCTATAGCGAATGATCTTGCCCCGTTCGCCAACCTTTATGCACTTTTTTCAAATTTGAAATTCTCGCCGTGGACATTACCCTTCCGTCCAGGGGGCTCGGCTTAGCTGATGTGTGTCTTGTGCTTCTTGGCCCATGCCCCACCGATCCCATACTTGGTCCGAACTCTGGATCTTCGGATAGTATAGATTCCCATGACGATAGACAAACGACACAGCGCTTTGTTCAAGGTGTGGCCAAAAAAGAGGCCCTTTCATCTTCAACTTTTGCTCGAACTTTATTAAACTCTGACTGGATATTTCCACCTGCAAAATCAACAACACAGAACCGCTAAATAACATTCTGCACGATCTAGGTCGAAAGCTCCTGACACGCAGATGCGTCGTAGGCCTCTTTTTGAGCGCATCGGCGGTAACGAAGCGACTTCATATATAGCATACTGAGACAAATCGACAGGTTTTCTTCTGTTAACCAAGAAATATTTTTTATTCTCCTAGAAACAATGCGCCTGCGCTACATTTTTGCGGCGATGTAGTAACAGCTGCATGTTAAAGGAATCCTGCGCGGAAAAATCATGATCCTATTCTCCCATTAAACACTGACTTGAGTCCCATAGGTCACGATGAGAAAGAAAAGAACGAGAAATAAGTGTTTGTTTTGTAGAAAAATTCAAAAAACCGAAACACCTATTAGTCGTTCAAATTCCCGCCAAGCTGACGTCACGAGCGTTTGCGATGGGTACCTCGTTTCCCTGGAGTGTCGTCACCAGAAATTGTTCCCGCGCGGAATTGTAGCTCGCAGCAAGAATTTTGAAGCATTTGGGACACACATGCGAATTTGCACACTGGACCCAGGAATTTTCAAAAAAAGTATAAAAATTGGGGAAAGTTAAATTGTGAACCAACAATAAAAACAATAAGCAACATATTTCGCAGTATTGAGGAGCAAAAAAGACTTTCTAGGATAATTGATTTTCCATGGTAAGCGGCCTCAAAACTTTTTGAACTCAGAAAAGCGACACTAAGATATCCGGTACCTAATACATCTGATTACAAGTTTCCAGCGAATTTGGTGATCCGAGGTGTTCCGGCGCCTTTTTGACGCGAGCGTCAGGCTCCCTAGCGGTAAACGAATGTGATTTTCATATTCCACGGGTCGAATTACCCCTGAAGGCAAGTTTCTAGACAAATCTACAATCAAAGACAAATTTCGATAGAAACCCGGCTGAGTTCTCGAGTAGTGGGGCAGCAGAGGGTAAATAATGCCAAGGAATCTCTCGTAGAAAATTCTCGCATTCTTTCTGACATCAATGTGCCAGTTGTGATCAATGGAAACATCCCACAAAGTTTCATCCATGAAGATTCGATCTTCGAAGAGAAACGAACGTACAATAACTACACTCTATGGACCATCGAAGAAATTCAGGGGCCGAGCCAGGCGAGGCATGGAAGGAAGACGGCCATTGGTTGACTAGAAACAGGCGACTCAATAAAAAAAATCGGGTTGAAATGCACGATTTCAAAATCACGCGCAATTGTGCTTTGGGACGCAATTGCACTCGCGGCAGTTTACACGTCGTATACTGAATTCGTCCTACAACGCGTCGCCTTACACATAGCCGCCTCCCCACGTACATTGTTCCATGAGTTATGTTGTTCCGCCCGATGGTCCTTCGATGGTCCATGGACCCTGATTTTGGTAAGTTTATTTCTCTTCGGAAACTAAATGTTCGTGCGCCTAACTTCGTATGTTGGCTCCAGTGACCACAACTGACACATACATGTTGGGAATCGGAGCAAGAAATTTCCGCGCAGGATTCCTTTAAAGAACTGGCCTCAGCAGGTGGTGTGGTCGGCAAACGGCGCGACCCGCTCGCGCAATTCCCACTTCGGAGCTGTTCAGCATCTAATCAAGAACGTAGGAAGTGTGATTGAACAAAAAGCGAGGGAGCTGAAGTGGGCGTGGCCAGAACCGGCCAAGGGGATTGCAGTCGTTTCCGACCACGCCCACCCTGCTGGGACTGTTGCTTTAAGGCTCGAAGGCCTCGAATAGCCAAGTGGCTGGCTCCTTTGACCGCTTTGATCAGTTCGGTAGTGATGTTGAAGAGGGTTTTCTGATAGATATATTATATATACATAGTAGGGATTGTTTGCTAGTTTTGGCTGTAAAAATTGAATCACAAAAAGCGACAAAATGAAAGTGTCTCGAAATGTGAAGTGACCATTTTCTCGCTCGAGCATTGGGACGTCTTAGTACAGGGAGAGAGGAGCTGGTTAGAAAATGGCGATAGCCTTCTTATTCGGAGAACGTGGCGTAACAAGAACATGATAATTATTCAACGGTTGTGCTTGCACATTGTTTCTGGAAAAGTGCACGATAATTAATTAAATTTATCGCTTTTAGACCAAAATCAAGGATATGCGTGGATGACCTTAGAGTGTTGACTCTGCCTGGACATTGGCCTGGGGTGGAGAATTTGGTAAGTTTTGTGTTCTTTTCGATTGTATTTTGAATATACATTGTGTCGCAACAAAGCGAGGAGAAACGTTTCTGAAATTTCACTAAGATTCTATATTGAAACAAGTTAAGGTAGCACTTCTGAGTCAAAATAAAGATGCTCAAGCTCCTCAGCTGCGGAAGCTTCTCGCGGAGAGCTTCGTAGCCGTCTCTATGTAAGTTCACCGTTTTCTTTCATCATAACAGAACACTTTTTTAGCAATGATTTTATCACTTGTCCAGATTGTGGGACTGATAATAAGTTAGTTCCATTGTGCTCAATTTTGGACTAAATTTAAGAGCAAAGTAGGAGCTGTGGTGTACTGCTTAACGCATACCAGCAGTAGCATGATCTTTAATAGAAACGCTTGCTTCTCTTTACGACGCACCGCTGGTGTGCATGAATGCAGGGTGAAACATGGTGTAGGAAATCCTCGATAGGGGGTATGTTTCCTGTTTTAATAGGAAGTGAAGGGGCATAAGCACAGGCTCAGGGATGGGCACAATCATGCAGTTACTACTCACTCCACTAATGTGCATTTCATTGGATGCAAAGTAGATGATGGGTAGTAGATCATTGGAAAGGGCTTGTTTAGAGCTACTTTAGTAATGCCCAAACATTTCACTCACGTCGAATCTCATTAAACTACACCAGTATCTCCTGTATATTCACTTTCTTTCTTCTAGCTGTATTATAAAGCAGTAACAACTCGTGATCAGTGAATTCTCGTCATTAAAGCAACAGTCCAGCAGGGTTTTACCTTCAACACTAATGGTGTGGAACGATGCGCTAGCCCTAGTCAAGAACATAAGAAGTGTGACTGAACAAAAAACTCACCTTGGAAAGCCGCTAGAAAGGGAGCTGAACGGCTTCGAAGTGGGCGTGGTTGCTCAGTCGGCTGCAATCCCCTCGGCCGATTCCAACCACGCCCACTTCGAAGCCGTTCAGCTCCCTTTCTAGCGGCTTTCCAAGGTGAGTTTTTTGTTCAGTCACACTTCTTATGTTCTTGACTAGGGCTAGCGCATCGTTCCACACCATTAGTGTCGAAGGTAAAAACCCTGCTGGGACTGTTGCTTTAATGAGAAATGTTGTGGAGGAGTCATACAGCTTGCTACGGTGGGTGCCTCTACCTTTCAGATTACAGGTCACTCTTCTGTTTTGCGCTAGCGGTTTATGATTCGAGATGGCTTTACCGTATGTCTGCTCACCAAATGGATGCGCTTCAGTTTGCTCTCATTTTCGGAGGAGGTGGAGAAAGAAAACAGAACACACCTCCTATGAGGCCACCTCGTATGTTCACTTCTATTTTCCCGAACTATTGTTCACTGTAATTGAGATTGATTATTTATTTTTTACAGTAACTAGGGCTAGATAAAATAAAAGTTGTCCAAAAGTTCCTCTGGACTACCATTTTTTTTACAGAACATTAATAGCTTCGAAAGAGAATTAATTAAAATCTTAAACAAAATTATGAAGTCTGACGAAGGCATAAATGCCGATAGTTTGCCAATAAGTATAAATCGAAGAGCTTCAAAGCAGTCGTTCATAACGAATAATTTTTGTTGTTAAGGGCCACAAATCCCAAGCGCACAAGTACCGGGTGTGTCACACAGTTCTGATGAAGGAAGCTCGCGATCCAAGTATCCCAGCAAGGTAACGTCTACTGTTGCTGATAACAGAAGAAATATTTCTTGAAACCAGTCGAGGTGTTTTAATCTTTTTTAGCCAGTTGGGTCAGAGGGATCGTTGCATGATACCATGGCCACTCAGTCACCATCATTAGGCGAGCAGTTCAAATCGAGATGGGTACCGCCCAAGAAAAATATCGTGCAATTCTTCGCAACCAAGGTGTGCACCCAATTTTGAATCTTTCTGTCACAGACGAAGCCTGTTCCTGCTTCTAGCCTCCTGTGGATTCTGGCGATGTGTACAGCGTCGATTTCGACTCTGATGGCGAATTCGGTGGCAGCGAAGCAAGAATGTCAGATCACGAGAGGTTGGTTGCTTGTTTCGATATCTTCTACAGTTTATGCGATTTTGTTTTGATAGAATTGCAGCTCATGGGTTTGTTTCAAGCCTTTCCAGAAATGAGAACACCAGCCCAAAATCATTTGCGTGGCAATTATTACGTCTTGCACTCGTTGAGCAGCAAATCTACAGAATTCGTCAATTTTTAATGGTTGCAGGATTTGATTCAAGTGGTAAGTTATAGTGTAGTGTTTGTCACGAATCATATATACCAATTGTTATATTTAGACTCCGTTAGCTTCGATGTAAACCACTTACCTCCTCAGCTTTTCGTTCTAGTTGACCCTAAGTTATGCCTGTGAAAAAAAGAATGTTTGGCGTTATACGAGCAGCGCTGGTGGGATTTACGGCAGATGGTTTGTATACAGTGTTGAGCGAAAGAGGTGATTGACCTTTTTGGTCACTCTTCTTCGTCCACGGTGAATGATTCCACTGCTCTGGTCCAGGGTCAGTCATTCTTTGAGCAACATTCAAAGAAATGGCATCGCTTTTACGCTTACCACAGGTTGAGCCTGGAAACTGGCGAGCTTTCCCAACTCATCGCCTGGGACAATAAGCCTTTGTGGAAATCTGTGACTTTTGACAAAAAAAAACTAACTTTCGTATATGAAAATTACTCAAAGAAACCTATTTTCCGAGGTGACCACCTTTCAAAATAGTTCAACACCTTTGATGAGGCAACGTTTCGTAATTCTGAAGCTGCTTGTAGATTCACACGGAAATACACTTGAGGGGAGCTAATTTGAATTTTGAAAAACGCACATCCAAGAAAAACTAACAGGTCCTCCCAACTTTTCTTGCCATTTTGTATGAAAACACTTTTCCAAAAAGTTATGACTACAGAGGTCACATTAAAGGAATCCTTCGCGGAAAATTCTTGCATTCTTTCCCAACATGAATGTGTCAGTTGTGATCACTGGAAACAGCACACAAAGTTTCACGCATGAAGATTCGGTTTCCGAAGAGAAACAAACTTACAAAAACTACACTATGGACATCGAAGGTAAGGCGCGGAGCCAAAGGCGGGGCATGGAAAGAAGTCCGCCTTGGGGCGGCTACGTATCAGGCGACGCAATGAAAGAATCGGGTTAAAGCGTGCGATTTTGGAGAGTAGAGACAAACAATCGATAGAATAGGATGCACTAGAAGTGTGAGATGTTAAAGGAATCCTTCGCGGAAAATTCTTGCATTCTTTCTTGACATGAATGTGTCAGTTGTGATCACTGGAAACAGCACACAAAGTTTCACGCATGAAGATTCGGTTTCCGAAGAGAAACAAACGTACAAAAACTACACGTATGGACATCGAAGGTAATTCGGGCGGAGCCAAAGGCGAGGCATGGAAAGAAGTTGGCCTTTGGCCGGCTACGTATCAGGCGACGCAATGAAAGAATCGGGTTAAAGCGCGCGATTTCGGAGAGTAGAGACAAATCGATCGATAGAATAGGATGGAGTAGAAGTGTGAGATGTGAATGCAATAAAGCAGAAGGCCAGAAAGAGTTTCTAGTGAAGGCACTCCAAGAACCAAGTGGAAGCATCCCCGTCGCCAGCATTTGTGAAAGACGTCCGTGGGCACTTTGAACGCGTAGCAGCCCTTTCGATTTTCGAATTTTTACCAAAACAAAAGCAATATTTCTGTTCTTTTCATTCTTATCGTGGATAATGAGTCTCAAGCCAGTGATTTATGGCTGAAATAGAATCATGATTTTTCCGTGAAGGATTCCTTTAATGCAATAAGTCAAAAGGCCTGGCAGAGTTTCTAGTGACGGCACTCCGAGAACCAAGTGGAAGCATTCCCGTCGCCAGCATTTGTGACAGATGTCCGGCGGTACTTTGAACGCGTAGCAGCCCTTTCGGTTTTCGAATTTTTTACCAAAACAAATGCAATTTTTTGTTCTTTTCGTTCTTATCGTGAACGATGGGTCCCAAGCCAGTGAATTATGGGTGAGATAGAATCATGATTTTTCCGAGAAAGATTCCTTTAACTTTAACATTAACACTCAGATATTCCCGCGGTTGTTCCTCGAGTCGAGGCGGTATTTCGTCTTCTTGATGGATGGACAATACAATTACGGCAAAACTTGTGTTCGTATCGTGATGGCTGCCCTATTGATCTTCTGCCGGAAATGACTGTCAACAGTGTTGACATCAAAGCCATGTCAGGATTTGCTTTTGTTGTTACTTAATTACCACTCACAGTATTTTATTGCTTCTCTTCACAGGTATGAAATTTTGACGAAGGAGAAAAATACGCCGTTCGAATCAGATGATCCGCAAACCGGTCCCCTACGACGCCTCTGGACATATCTGGCTAATCAACCCCATCTCCAACCCGTCTTTGCAAGGCATATATTCTCACAAAAACCGCAGCAGGTATATACACATGGTCATTCCGGTATACAGTTTTGTACTACGTTGTTCACCTGCATTCCCTGAAAAGCCCAAAATGTTCTATTTCAGGAAGCGCCAAAAAATAGCACTGCCACAGGCATCGAAAATCAACCACTTCCTGATGCGTATAAGATTGTTCAGAAAGACCACGACCCGATCATTGCTTTTGCTTGCAGTCAGGTGAATTTCATTGAATTAGCAGCAACGGATCAAGAATGTTTTTTATAATCAAAAGCTAAGCCTACCAATTTTGCTTTCCCAGAATAAGCAGCCATTCGAGAATTTTTCAACAAATTTTCTAACGAGTTGTTCAACACGCATAACCTATGTACGTATCCGAATTTGGCAGCAGCATCATTTTTCCGACTTTTTTCGGATGACAGCCTTTTGGTTTTTGCACCGTTTCATTATTATAAGCTCAATAAACTATGACTCTTCCTTGTTTGAACGCAGATTTGCGATGGAAATGTAGGTTATTAGCAACCAAGGTAGGGGTTGTCAGTGGTGCAGGAATGAAGAAAAAACCATGAGAAACAGCCTAGAGATACCAAGAAATGGGACCTTTTTTGCCGGTTGATTTCCGTATTGATGCAACTCTCTTCGGTGCTGCCCTCTCAAACGCTAACGCTCCCTCTGCTGAACGGCTAAGTCAGAGGATGAGAGCGTTGGCTTGTCGTGTCGTGAGTATGGCTTTGCTAGGGAGTCTAGGAATAAACGCTGGCTTGCGCAAAATGCGAGCAATCGGACTCGCGTGTGGCTCCTCAAGGGGTGTAAAGCATACATTCGAAAAATTATTCGTCAGGCGAGGCACTGCGAAAACGCGAGGACGTACAGTACTCGCCGTTTGAAATCGAAAATTCACGCGAATAACGCGAATCCTCGTTAATTTCGTGAATTCGTTATAAGTCGGGTCAGAGTGAAGTATTCCAAGAAAAACACCGTTGAACTCAGCTCTTCAAGCGCTACAAGATGGTGCTAAAATATTTTCAGAAAGCTTGATTTCGGAATGCGCCATGCACTCGATTTCATCTCAAAAAGTAGTTGCTCGCATGTGATGTGTATATAATCCCGCTTATGCGGGCTAACCGCTACACACAAAGAAGGGCCTCAAAACTTACCCCAGAATGCGCCACGTACTCAATCTCATCCACTACATTGTGAGATTAGATGAATGTTATTTTCCGAATTCTTAGATCTTCATTTCGTTTTCAAGCGCTTTACGTGTTCCCTCTGCTCTCAATATCCCATCCTCTGTATATCAAGTGGAATCTTTGAACAGTTCTCAGCAGGCATAGTGGGCCTATTATGTGACATTTTCCATTTTCAGAGGAGATGTTTTGCAGAAAGCTGTGAAGATAGCGAACAATTTCCTTCACTGTCGTAGACTACGGTCACTTGTCTGTAAGGATTATATGGAAACCTTGGTCGCAGGTGAGCGTTTCTTCCGTGGTGTGACCCCAAACATCACCCCTTGTCATGCCTTTGCCCCCTATTACGTGACAAGTCCCATTTTTAGAGGAATGTTTTGTAGAAAGCTGTAAAGGAAGCGAAGAATTTCCTTCACTGTCGTAGACTATGGTCACTTGTCTGTAGGAATTATGTGGAAAACTCGGTCGCAAGTGAGCGTTCCTTCCGTGGTGTGGCCCCAAACATGCCTCCTCGTCATGCCCTTGTGGAAAGTTCAGATTTTTTGCATTTCCAGATGAACTCGCAGACCTGAAATGTGCCCCGTTAGCTTCCCCGTGAAAAATGCTATCGAATGATATGCATTACTTCCCCAGTTGAAACTTTGGTTTTTCACCGTTTTCAGCCTTCCCCTATTGCCGGATTGGGCCCACGATTACTGCCCCAAAATCTCAAAGTTTCATTTTTCGTCGAAACTTTGTCTATTGGGGTAATTCGATGCCCTGATTACGAATATGACATTCATTTTTGATGCTGGTGTCATTTGGCGCCATTTGGCGCCGTTTGGCGCCAATTTGGCGCCACGCTGTTTTCACCAAATCTGCTGAAACTTCGTCATTTGGGGTTATTTGGGGTCCTGATTACGAAAACGACACCCCGTTTTCAGCGCTGGCCGCCATATTTAGCGCGCCGTTTGCCGCCTGTTTGGCGCCGCGGCGCTGTTTCCACCAAATCCGCTGAAAACGTGTGTATAGGGGTTATTTGGCGTCCTGATCACGAATATAACATTCAGTCTTGACGCCGGCGCCATGTGGTGTCACAAACAACACTTCACAGTCAGAGCGTACTCTTAGGCACCTTTCTCAGAGCGCCGACTGTCAGACCGTGGAAAAGGTCATCGAATCGGAGACTTTCCCACGACAGGAAGGAGCCAGACCGTGGAAAACTGTGAGCTAAGCCAGAAGCATATTTCACGTTTTCACTGGAGATGCCTGTATGCGTTGGGCAGAGCAGCAATTCGACTGTAAGCTCTCCAGCTGCCACTGAGGATGGTAGTACCGTGCTCGATGTACTACTTCATGATGAGCCGCAGTAGAGTTGAAACGTCTTTCCTTCGGACCATCCGAAGGAGTCCACTTCCTCTTTCAATGCCTCCAAACAGTTTGGCGCCAATTTGGCGCCACAGCTGTTTTCACCAAATCTGCTGAAACTTCGTCATTTGGGGTTATTTGGGCCGAGCGTGCCGCACTGGACCATCGAACGAGACCAGGGTCTACGTTCATGCCCGAAAGGATTCCTTTTTCGAGAACTGTAACTTTCCTGAGTCCACGGTGTTCGCACTGCCCTATTTCTGGCTGCGCGACATGGGCAAGGTGAAGGACAAGGAATACGAGCTCAATGTCGCCACACCAGTTCAATTCAGTGGGAGCGGTTCTTCCGCGGCGAATGTGTGGGGCACTTCAGGAGAACCCGCCGATCATCGGAAGGTTCGGGTGCGAGATGGAAATTGACGAAACACTGGTTATCAAACGCAAATACAACCGCCGACGTTGGGTACGCAGGCACAAGTGGCTGTTTGGAGGCATTGAAAGAGGAAGTGGACTCCTTCGGATGGTCCGAAGGAAAGACGTTTCAACTCTACTGCGGCTCATCATGAAGTAGTACATCGAGCACGGTACTACCATCCTCAGTGGCAGCTGGAGAGCTTACAGTCGAATTGCTGCTGCCCAACGCATACAGGCATCTCCAGTGAAAACGTGAAATATGCTTCTGGCTTAGCTCACAGTTTTCCACGGTCTGGCTCCTTCCTGTCGTGGGAAAGTCTCCGATTCGATGACCTTTTCCACGGTCTGACAGTCTGGCGCTCTGAGAAAGGTGCCTAAGAGTACGCTCTGACTGTGAAGTGTTGTTTGTGACACCACATGGCGCCGGCGTCAAGACTGAATGTTATATTCGTGATCAGGACGCCAAATAACCCCTATACACACGTTTTCAGCGGATTTGGTGGAAACAGCCGTGCGCCAAACAGGCGCCAAACGGCGCCAAATGGCGCCAGCGCTAAAAACGGGTGTCGTTTTCGTAATCAGGACCCCAAATAACCCCAAATGACGAAGTTTCAGCAGATTTGGTGAAAACAGCCGTGGCGCCAAATTGGCGCCAAACGGCGCCAAATGGCGCCAAATGACACCAGCATCAAAAATGAATGTCATATTCGTAATCAGGGCATCGAATTACCCCAATAGACAAAGTTTCGACGAAAAATGAAACTTTGAGATTTTGGGGCAGTAATCGTGGGATATAGGGGAATGCTGAAAACGGTGAAAACCAAAGTTTCAACTGGGGAAGTAATGCATATCATTCGATAGCATTTTTCACGGGGAAGCTAACGGGGCACATTTCAGGTCTGCGAGTTCATCTGGAAATGCAAAAAATCTGAACATTCCACAAGGGCATGACGAGGAGGCATGTTTGGGGCCACACCACGGAAGGAACGCTCACTTGCGACCGAGTTTTCCACATAATTCCTACAGACAAGTGACCATAGTCTACGACAGTGAAGGAAATTCTTCGCTTCCTTTACAGCTTTCTACAAAACATTCCTCTAAAAATGGGACTTGTCACGTAATAGGGGGCAAAGGCATGACAAGGGGTGATGTTTGGGGTCACACCACGGAAGAAACGCTCACCTGCGACCAAGGTTTCCATATAATCCTTACAGACAAGTGACCGTAGTCTACGACAGTGAAGGAAATTGTTCGCTATCTTCACAGCTTTCTGCAAAACATCCTCTGAAAATGGAAAATGTCACATAATAGGCCCACTATGCCTGCTGAGTTCAAAGATTCCACTTGATATACAGAGGATGGGATATTGAGAGCAGAGGGAACACGTAAAGCTAGTAAGCGCTTGAAAACGAAATGAAGATCTAAGAATTCGGAAAATAACATTCATCTAATCTCACAATGTAGTGGATGAGATTGAGTACGTGGCGCATTCTGGGGTAAGTTTTGAGGCCCTTCTTTGTGTGTAGCGGTTAGCCCGCATAAGCGGGATTATATACACATCACATGCGAGCAACTACTTTTTGAGATGAAATCGAGTGCATGGCGCATTCCGAAATCAAGCTTTCTGAAAATATTTTAGCACCATCTTGTAGCGCTTGAAGAGCTGAGTTCAACGGTGTTTTCCGTTTCTGGAATACTTCACTCTGACCCGAGTTATAACGAATTCACGAAATTAACGAGGATTCGCGTTATTCGCGTGAATTTTCGATTTCAAACGGCGAGTACTGTATTAAGGCTGAGTGTTTTTTCTGAGAAAAAATGAAGATAAAAATTTTTGCTTTGCAAAATTGAAATTTTTTGTTCATATTCAAATGTGAGTCTGTTATATGCTCAAAATCCCACCTATGGAGCTTTTTAAATCTATTCGAAGTGCGAGTGTTTAGGATTTTTTTGGATGGTGCAGTTTGGCATGTAGGCATTTGTGAATAAACTTAAAAACATTCGAAAACACATGATGACGGGGTCCTGGTGATCTAATAAATCTTTATGGCAAAAATTTGACATCCCTTGATTTCCAATGCCACCATTTCGTCACCACGGACAGGTTTCGACGCAGGTGTCAACTTTTTGAAATGGACAACATTGAATTAATCCCCATATGTTTTCAAAGCGGCTGGGTAGCAAGTGTTGTATAGAAAATCGGTTTTCGGGATTGAATATTCTTCCAATGCTGTTCATTATGGCTGGTGTCAGAGTCGCGATCACTCGCGCGAATCGCAAAAATCGCAAGTGCCCCATTTGAACATTTGAAACACTGAATATGAAACAAGTAGAATCATGAACAGTCGTCATTCAACCATCACCATCAAGCAGAAATGGATTGGAGAGCACCTCGCAGTATTGATCGGGCCGATTTCTGTGACCCGTCGCGCAATTCGCGCGAATCGCGCGGCAGATCGCGGACTCTGACACCTAGCTTATTCGTTGCTTTCACTAACGAATGAAAAATATTCCACATTCAAGGAGAGGCCGGGATGGCTGGCTGTGTCTACTGGTCGTGAATTGCAAGAAATGGATATCTCTGGTGTATTTGAGGATCCTAAAAGTGCATCCTCATATTTGTTCAATCGATTAGATTTAGTTGTAAGTTTTGTTAAAAGTTGTTTTTTTCAATATAGCGTTTCGATCAATATTTCTTATTCCAATTAAGGTCAACTCGATGGCAAATCGGCGTGATCCGCTGAAAGAGAATGACGATTATCAGTTCTTCACAGAAAATGCAACTCAAGTCGTACAAGCACCGAGAGCGGCCACAATGGTACGTAGTATAATTTTCAATATTGAATGTACAGTTCAATTAGGCTAACGGAAATTTTCTGCTCATAGACCACTCTAAGAAGTACATAGAGGGAAGACTTCACAGAGTGAGGCATGAGTTGTTCTTTGACGAATACGTATAGCACTGCTTTTGTTTTCTGTGGAGAAAACTGCTTTTCTTCAGATTTTCAAGCGGACTGTGAGTGGAATACGTCGCATTGACTCCCATCCTACAGCTCCTTTTTGTAAGTGCAACTTTTGGTCTCAATTGCGTACCTATCACCGCTTAAAGGCCTAGAATGTCAGACTTGTCCAGAATCGCGTGATTCGCCTACGGTCCGCGGTCGCGTCGACGCGCCGCTGAATCACACCAATGTAGTGGCTAACCGCAATACGCGACGCACGACGGCCTAGCGAATCGGCGCAGGATCGCAATAGTCTGAGCATCTGCCTAACACTCGACCGACATTAGACGCGTCTCACTTTGCGCACCTCGTTGGACATTGAGACACGGTTACGCGTCTCACACCTCCTGTGCCATCCTTTTTCTAGCGTATGCGAGAATTCTTCCCAATTTGCTTGCCTCTATTCTATGGATTACAACATAAAATAACTGTAAACGACATGATCACGGTATGATCAAATATGCTCCAGTTTAGCAGAAATTTTTTAAGCACAGCGGAATTGGCAGCTCGGTTCATCCCTCGTTTTCTTCCTATTCTGATGAACATGTCAGTGAGAAAAGGTAGTGAAAGTAAATGCAAACTTAAGGGATAGAAAGATATATGTTTCACTTGACACATCCACATCGAAAATAGTTTTGGCATCCACTACAGAGAAAAGGACTTGAATTCCAATTTTCTTTACCATTTCACGTTTTTTGATCGGAATTTCGCTACTATATCTTCGATTACTTTCTACGCATTGAATATTGCTGAAATGGTTTCGTACCTTTGAAGCATCCCAAAGTTATCGTTCGAAATTTACGGGTGTGAGGTGTGACGGCCGCGCTCGCAAAAGCGCCCTTGTCCCACGAGGTGCAAAAACCCAAAACGGCCCAGATTCGTTCAATGCTGTTCACAAAACGAGTAATAGTAGCCAAATTCTAGGTTTTATTCGAGCGTTCGTTCGAGACTCAACCTTTAGTAAATAATTATGGACGCTACGATTTTGCATAAACCTAGACATGTTACATTTATTGCATATTATATTATCAGATGTCACTGGTTCGTCAGATTGGATCGGTCCGAGTTTGGGAGTGGGGCGTGGGACAACCTGTATACACAGCCCGTGTAGCTGGTCAACATGCAAAGGTTTTGATGACTTCTTGCGTACTTCGAAATATCATTAATCACTGTGTACGTTCAGGTTACTAAAGTTTCCTTTCGTGCAATTGGCAATAAGGTTTGCAGGGCGGTTGCGCGCAGATGGATATCGTTTCCCTTTGGTGCAGGCCACTTTGATTTCCACAGAGCACATAGAAGCGTCATGTCCTTTGTGAGTTAGATAAAGTTGTTTTTTTCTTTCTGCTAAATTATTATGGATAAATGGTAGAAATGAATAAACATGAAAAGATAATCAACAATGATAACTAAGTGCTATCCCGCAAGGATACGGGGCGCGGCCTATAGTAGTGAATCATATAAAGCGAAAAAGGCATGGCCCTTTTGTAAAAATGGAGCTAAGCCTCAGGTGGAGGAGAAGAGGGTGCGTCTGCCATTTCGATTTTCCCCGAGCTCCTGCCCCCTTTTAACCTTGAAGGATGCCCAGTATATTGCGATAGCGCCGAAAAAATTTAAATTTGCAAGATTACTAACGCTGAGGCCGCTGTTAAACTGTTGCACATCATTGTTGCCTTCTTGTGCCGCGCGAGCCTTCTTTAAAGTTCAGTCCAGATTTCCTTCTTCTGAAACCCAAAGTGGCTCAACGCTGGAAAGCTGCTCTCAGCAGCAAATGTCTCGTTCTCTTTGACTTTTTGGTGAGGGTGTTTCGAGTAAAAAAATGAGTGAAAAGAGGAATGGTAAGGTAACAAATTTCTTTAACTGCAAGTCGTTCAGCCCGCTTCACCACCGAAGGAGCGAAGCGATCACATCTTAGTTGTGTATTGAGTGGTCCACAGCGCCCGCCAATCATTTATGTTGCTCCTTATTTCACTTTATTTAACTTAAGGTTATTATTATTTATTAAGTTTATTTGATCTGAAAAATGGTATGGTCATATAAGATTAGAAGCACACAGGGTATTTCATTGAAAAGCACATTGAATTTCCATAATCAATGACAGGTAATCAATTTTACAATAATTTCCAAATTTCTTAAATTCTATGGTTATCATATTGCAAAATGTATCCTGTCGGGATGCCGGGTAACCGTCACGTTGAACAGATTTTTGCACAATTGTTACGAGCCCCCCTTCTGGAGTGCCTCGTAGCGCCGCCTCCCGCAGGACCAACGCCTATCATCCACCCTCGCACTGGCCATCGTCTCCTGGACTCCTCTACACGTAATTCATTGTTTAGACCATCCTCACACATGGCTCAAAACCTCTCCTCCACTGGTTGACATCCTCGCAAATTGCTCTCGAGCGGAGGGGGGGGGGGAGTATACCGAAACCGCACATTTCTCCTCCCCCTTTTCCCCCTACTTCAACCAACATTTAATAAGGGGGAGGGCCAAAGGAAGGGTTGTTACACTAACCGGATCGCAAAATTTGGCCGCCAAACCAAGCTGTATCATCGTTGTCCCTAGACATTGCACGCTCCTCGCCAAATACGACCCCTCTCCCCTTTTTTACAGCCAAATTAACGACCCTCACCCCCACCCTCTCGTTGACGTTTCCAAGGACACTTGACCCGGGGAGAGGTCCCCCGTGACATGGACTGCTGTTTCAATACATGCTTATCCAGCGCGTGCGTGGCCAGCTTCCCAATTCACACAAATAAAAACCGACATGAAATAATAGCACCTTGCCATGGTGCCAGTGTGAGGGACTGTTACTCCTACCACTTCGGGTCGATCTCATAACGGTCGCAGTGGGCTAGCCAATGATGGACTGCCCACTCCATATACGGTCGCTACTGAGTTTTTCGGCTTCCCTTCCTAACCAAGACGTCTAAATTGAAAAAATCGAAACACATCTTTTGAGTCTTGGGCGAAGCAGTAAATTCGGGGCTTGCTCAGTACAATCTTTGGTATCCAGAGCGGCGCTAGGGTTCTATAGTTTGGGTAGACGTCAGTATTCGGGACAAACGCGTCGAACGCTTGGAACATACCGAATGTAGCACCCGGTCGTAGACTATTTATAACGTTTTGTTTTTAAATCGTTTTGCTTTAGCAGAATGACATTCTTTGTTGAAATAATGTAAAAATCCATGAATGATTTCAGAACGAAACTGTTGGATTAGAGAAAGCAGTTCTACTGTCTAACACTTGCATTGTTTAGAGTCAACGCTGCCACAACAAGTCGGCATCAGATGTTCGTTTCTTCGCTCACAGTTCGTCTGTCCTCGTGACTGCAGGAGCGTCTTCGGGAGAGTTCAACCTGGGACTGTGGGACACACTGCTACCTCAAACTCGTGCCCTTGTCGCATACACTGGTGCGCCCCCTGCAGGGGCGCCCCGTAAGTGCCATGTTCCATGCCGCATCCCAGTAAGCTCATTTAGTTGAATTATTGGTGAAATAGGGCGGAAGTGGTGTAGTGGCAAGTGGCACGCTTACCACGCGAGCGGTCGGGATCAAATTCCTGGGTCGTGAGTCGCCCGGGCCAACCAAGCCTTCCATCCCTCCGGGGTCGGTTAATTGGTACCAGACTTGTCTGGGAGGATAAAAACACTGACTTGAACATCGGCTGGCCCCCGCAAGTCATTGTATAGGCCACATCGCATTCAAACGCCACTACGAATGTACAAATGGAAGTAGAATGCGTGCCGCATCCCAAAAAGGGATTGATCAACGGCAAATGCTTTATCCTTTATCTTTTATTTGGTGAAGATCAAATCTGGCGAAAGTTGCGGTCAGATCTTTGTGTGGTGTGTTAGGCACAAACGCAAGCTTCAGTCTAAATTGGCGCTCAACAGTGGAGGTGGAGAGTACAGAGTGGGTTGAAAGTCAGAAGTAAAGCGGAGGAAATCATCGAAACACTAAAATCAGGACCTAAACTTATTATACGGTCAGGTGGACTAATTCGGTGATCCAGGGTGAGCAAAAAAGAAAGGAAACGCGAGGGCACGTGGTCGAACCCACACCCCAGTGCTTCGAGGGATTTCTTCTACCATTGAATTCAATGACGTCACCAAAATTGCACCATCCTTCAGCCATTGTGATCATTGACTTTTAGTGCCCCCCCCCCCATAAGCAGAAGCAGGCTCTTTCCGCTGCTCTCCCCGTCTTCAGGTTATGAAGTTCTGCCATAGCAAAAGCACAATGAATCCCATCATAATTCATTCGAACGGTCACTGTTGGCAGTTTCTTTGAGGCAATAGCTCTGATTATGCTAGACTTCTGCCGATCAGCGTTTCGGGGAACGTCGTAATGGTCCGCGATTCCTGGGAACCCGTTGTGCTCGAGCCTTAAACTGTGATTCATTGCAGATCCTTCCAGTTTCGCCCGTGTAGAAGGCAATCATGAACTTGTTGATAGGTTTGGAGGTACTCCTCAATCCTCGGAGGAAGCATCGGATTCGAATTCAGCGAAGTTCAATTGAATGGCAGAGGATTTTTTGCATTCCCCCTCTCCTTTTTCCGATATACATATGTACATGCACGTGTATTGGCTTTAGTGGTAGACCAGGTTGATAGAGCTTTTCGTACCTATAGGAGTTAATGTTTGCCGCGTTATGGTTGTACTGCTCAATCCAGCTTGATGAGTCGTAAGCCCGAAAGTGTCGTCCATGTAGTAAAATAAACAAGCTCGTAGTGAGGTTTCGAAAAGATGAAGTGCACGTCTTTCTGATTTCTTCTAGAAAGTTCTTGTTGTTTTAATCAAACTCAAATGAAACCAGTTACAGACTATTGTCTCTGGCGGGCGACATGGAGAGCTGTGCTTGTGGGATGTACGACAAAGGCAACTCCGTGTCACTGTCAAAGCATTTGAGTGGCATCAAACCGTGAAAACCCTAATCTCCGACTGCAATCAAGACCTTATCGTGGCCGGATCTAGCGATGGTGACATCAAGGTACTCTTGAATCACATAGGAGTTACATGTGTATATATTTGAATACTTCGAGTTGAACGGTTGGAGTGGTATTTGACTTTGAAATTACCTTGCTTTGATGCTTTTTGATTCTCTACGCGATAACGTAAAACTAGTAGCTATAAGATAAGGGGGAGAGAAAAGCTCACTGGCGGCGCGGACGCGAGCGCGTGCTAGTGACGTCAAAATGACGTCGCCACGAGCGGAATGATTGCTTTATGTACAGCTATTGTCCTCCTCTGGAAATTTTTCGAAATTGTAGAGGAAGACGAGGCATTCATGTGCAAACCCTCAGGAGTGCACAGGAATCAACTCCCTTTTGAGTATGCTCTTACCAGGAAGGTCTTTCAGGGCGTGACCAAGCTTTTTGAAAACGGTCTTTTGCATGATATAGGGGCAGATGCGGGAACCACAGAACCATGTTTAATTTTTCCTGAACGGCCCTCTGAATACCAGAAAAGGGGTCCCTAGTTCGATTCCTCGTGGTGACAAATTTTTGCATTTCGGATTGGCGT